TGGAGGCTTTCATCTGCTTCCTCTTCAGTCTGGAACTGTTCCCCTGATGCTGCGGACATCAGTTCCTCATTGGATTGTAGACCTGGGCTTGGTCCCTCTGGAAGCGATGCAGGTGATGGGGCTGTTTCCGGTGACTGTGAACCGCTCTCCGCTGGTGCACTATGTTGGGGTTCAGGCTCCGGCTAAGCCTCTTGTGTAGGGTTATCTGCTGCTGCCAGTGCAGTGGGGCTCTCTGGCGTTGGGGTTGCAAGTACTGGATTCAGTGCTGGCAATGGTTCTGATGCTGGTTGTTCCGCTGCTTCCGGTTCTGAGACTAGCTCTGTCTGGGTCTCTGTGACTGGATCCACTACTGCTGTTGCAGACGTTGGCATGGGGTCCAGTTCCATCACCTCTGACAGGTTCCTGGTAGAAGTTTCCGGAACAGAGCTAGGTGTGACAGCTTGCTTAGCCTGGCTGCGAGTGACCATTCCCACCCTCTTGGCTAGCTTCACATGATTGCCCAAGTCTTCCCGCAACAGCATGGGGATGGGATAATCATCATAGACTGCAAAAGTCCACGTTCCTGAACAGCTCTTGTTCTGGACCGGCAACTTGGCTGTAGGCAAGTCAAAAGAGTTTGACTTGAAGGGTTGAATCGTCACTTGGACCTCTGGGTTGATTAAATTGGGGTCCACTAAGGAAGCATGGATAGCCGACATTTGTGCTCTGATGTCCCTCTTCCCGCCCACACTCACAGTTTCCCTCCGCTCTGAGGGTATCTGGGAGGCATCTGGGCCTGAGGACCTCTGGTGTGATTCCGGTGCGATGAACTCTAATTGTTTGGGGTTCTTGGGGCAGTTGGCCTTTACATGCCCCGGCTCGTTACATTTAAAACATCGCCCAGCTGACTGGTCATTGGGGCGAGGTGGGTTGCCAGAGAATGGTGTGGTGGGGCGATAAGGTATCTGGAGTATTCTTTGGGGTGTAGAGTTGGGGCCTTGGGCTGCCCCCGGTAGTAGGGTGTGGTCTGAGGCTGTCCCTTCTGGTATCCGCTCCAACTGCGACCAGGGTTGTTCCTCTCTCCTCCATCCACCCATATTGTTCCAGTTTGCCCCGCCTCTCTGGCGGTCTGGGACTGCTCGTACTGATCAGCATAAGAAGCGAGACTTCCTGCTGAGTCCATTTTCTTATCCAATAAACACTGTTTTATATCATCTGTTTTATATCATCAATGTATCAAATATTCAGGAATTGCTCCTGTATAATCAAATCCCACATTCCTCCAAAGTTAGTTATAGCCCGTCCATTGAGCCATTTATCAAACAGTTCTGTCATCTGGTTTACATAAGCCACATTACTTAGTCCAGGCCCTCGCTTAAGGGTTCGAAATTTTACTCTGTAGGTTTCGGATGTAATTTGAAATTGCTTTAAAACCAAATCCTTGAATTTATTATAGTCAGAAGCCTCCTCAATAGGCATCGTATTGAATATGTCCAGAGCTCTTCCAGTCAATTTTGCGAGCAATGTGGTCATCTTGTGAGCTTCAGGAATTTTATGGAGTGTGCACAGTCTCTCAACGGTGAGAAAATATTCAGCAATATCACTGGATTCATCATACTGCAGACATAGTCGCTCCCATTTGTGGATTGTTAGGGTTATTCGGTATATTCTGCTGAGCCTTTGCCTTCTCCATTTCCAGTGCATGCTTCCTCTCTTTTTCCCTCTCCTCCATTTCCATCTGTCTGAGTTCTACCCGTCTTTCATGTTCCTTTTGTCTTTCCTCAGCCTCAGATCTGGCTTATTCCGGCTTCTGTTGAACATTGCATTCTGTCATCCTAACCTCTCCATTTTTAACTAACTTTACACCCGAGAGTTAGAAAGAAAACAAAAAAAACCTGGCTTGTAAAATTTTGTTTTGCTGTACCTGATACCTTTTGTCTCGGATAGCTGTTCTCAGCTTACAGAAAAATCTTTTTGTTATGCCTGCTGCTCTGTCCCCCAGGCAGAGAGACAGAATCAAAAGCTGCAATCACCTTTTACAAAACCTTTTAAAATCCTGCTGTGCTACTGGTTCAAAATGATCCCAATTCTCCCACCATGTCAAGGTTCCTTCCCCACTCTGAACTCTAGGATACAGATGTGGGGACCTGCATGAAAGACTCCCTAAGCTTATTCTTACCAGCTTAGGTTAAAAACTTCCCCAAGGTACAAACTTTGCCTTGTCCTTGAACAGTATGCTGCCACCACCAAGCGTTTTAAACAAAGAACAAGGAAAGAGACCACTTGGAGAAGTCTTCCCCCAAAATATCCCCCCAAGCCGTACCCCCCCTTTCCTGGGGAAAGCCTGATAAGAATCCTCACCAACTGGTACAGGTGAACACAGAACCAAACCTTTGGATCTTTAGAACAATGAAAAATCAATCAGGTTCTTAAAAGGAAAGGTAAAAGAATCACCTCTGTAAAATCGGGATGGTAAATACCTTACAGGGTAATCAGATTCAAAACACAGAGAATCCCTCTAGGCAAAATCTTAAGTTACAAAAAGAGACAAAAACTGGAATATACATTCCCTCCAGCACAGTTTATTTTACCAGCCATTAAACAAAAGGAAATCTAATGCATTTTCTAGCTAGATTACTTACTAACTTAACAGGAGTTGGAAGGCTTACATTTCTGATCTGTTCCTGGCAAAAGCATCACACAGACAGACAGAACCCTTTGTCCGCACCCCCTCTCCAGATTTGAAAGTATCTTGTCACCTCATTGGTCATTTTGGGTCAGGTGCCAGCGAGGTTACCGTAGCTTCTTAACCCATTACAGGTGAAAGGGTTTTGCCTCTGGCCAGGAGGGATTTTATAGCACTGTATACAGAAAGGTGGTTACCCTTCCCTTTATATTTATGACAGCACCTTTCTTGAAACATAAGTTCTACTGCCAAAACTTTAGGAAGTGGGAAAGCGCAGCCAGTATTGTGTGTTTCTTGAGATCTGTGCTGCACTTTATACTGAAGTGGATTGACTCCCATCTGCTTGTGAAGAGTGATACCCTACCCTTATTTCTAGGAACCCTACCGCAGACATACCAATGGTTTGGAGTGGAAGGAGGGACTAGTCCCATTTCTGGGCCCATGCTTCCCCTTGGTGCTCCATACCTAGGTTTACCCCTGGAGTCAGGAGTCTCTTCTCTGGTACCTTTGCTGTGGATAAAACTAGGACAGCTTGTAAGCCCTCTTTGGGTTTTGTTGTAGGGAGTGAAATCTTTGGCTACTGTCAAGCACCACTTTCTTAGCAAGCCTCTCCCCAAACAAGATTCTATCTGAGAATTTTAAGGCACAAAGAAGAAAAGGGGGAACAAAGATCAAGAATTCAAAATCATGCAGCTGTTTTGAAGGGGGACATCACTGGGAACACAAATAGATGGGAGCAGGGGAAGGAATACATTCTCTGAAGTGGCTGCACCTAAGAAACTACCAACAGCCTAAGAGGGTCTTCTGAGGATTAGTATTTGTATGGCACTTTGCAAAGTATTATTAATATTTAATTCTCACTCCGTTCTTTACTGATTTTTCCTCCTATAAATTAAAGCTTGGATCATGGTGCACCACAAAAAAGTAATAAAATAATATTAATAGCCTTAAGAATGTTATTGAGGAAGAAGTCACTTGTAACACTATAAAAGTGTACCATTTTGTACAGCACCAAACAGAGCTTAGTAAGCAAAAAGTAAACTAAAGAATCTTCTAGTGTTCCATTTTTAAAGGAAAGTAGTTTTTGATAACCCATGTCGTTTTCTGAGCTGGCAACAGAACAAACAAAACAATAAAATACAAAACAATATCAGTAGGGATCAGCTTTCTAAATGTTGACAGCTGAGACTCTGGCATCAAGTTAAAAGGTTTGAAAGAATTCCCTACAAGACTTTACAAAATACAAGTTTCACATTCTGTGCTCTCCACTAAATCAAACTGCATGCACAGTGTCCCTAAAGTATCTAACAGAGAAGAGCTAGAAAATCAGACCACCACATTTTTACTTGTCAGTAAGCAATACACAAATATTCCTGAGTGCATTAGATACTGAACTGAATCTAATGGATTCTCTCATCAGAATACAAATCAAGTCCCTTTGCATCTCATATTTTAAAAGATAGATATGGGAAGTCAGACTCTCAGGAAAACAACTTTGTTCCTTTAGATGTCAAAATGAATAATCTTTGTTGAGTTTGTTATGGAAACAAAAAACTGATTTTACTATGGCAACTCAGTGAATCGGGGGGGGGGGGGGGGGAACTTACCCTCTGAAATCACAGTTGAAATTAAATCAGGGTGTATATTCATTAAAGCTGACTTAAGTAAAAAAACTTCCCTATCTAGTACATTTTTAAGACTCCCTCCCAGCTTCTTTCCAAAATATTTTCTCCTCTGACTTTGTAATTAAGTGTGAAGGACTTAACTTCTACAAAACTGAAGTTATGAAGCAACAATCTCCACTTTCCCTTACATACTATTTTTATGGTCATCATTAGCGGATATAACAAGAGTTATAGATTTGTCGAGGCAAACATTTCGGCTTTGAATAAGAAACTGAGCATTAAAATTCTTCTTGTAAGTACAATATACTGCAATTTTTAGGATTTCTATGTTTTATAAATGCTACTCTTTTTGGTTAAATAAATTGGTTATTTATTATCGAGGGGTGAGTCAAACCCCATAAAATATTTTATAGTTTCCAAATTACCAAAACGGCTAAGTAGACTTAAAATGATTTCCACACAAACTAGAAAAAGTTTGTGGTTTTCTACTACAGAGAAAGCAAATACTTGAAAATATCTGGCTTGAGTAACTTTACAGTACTTTCAGAAGGATATTTAGAACCAGCTTTGGGCCTTTCAGATTCCTAATTTTCTCCCAACAGAAGAATGCAAACTTTAACTACGTCACAAAGAACAGAAGTCAATCACACAGAATTTGTGAACTGTACTACACTAACATTTCATAAAATGGAAGTTTTAAAGCAACATACCTTCAAAGACATCGGTCATTTTGCAGATGTGAGCAAAAGTAGCTCCATTTGCCCATGTGTATACTACATCCATTAGGTTGGGTCTGAAGGAGTTTAGGTAATTTTCCTCATCGATTTCCAATTTAGCTTCTGCTGAAACTTTGGCAATTCTTTTAGCACATTCCTTTAACAATAAAAGGTTTAGTTTTAAAATCAAGTTGCAGTGTGACAAATTCTTCAAAACCAGAAACTAACTCATTGTTTACACTAGAATTTGAAATCTCATTAGAATAAATGTAACCAAGCAATTTATAGTGCAGTTATTAACCTATATGTAAGAATCTAAGAATGATACATGTTAATTGGACAAGCTCATGAAGGCCTTACATGCAGCTTGACAGCATTTCTCTGTTTGTGTGTGTCTGAACATTACATGGTAACTTTTGAACTCTGCATCTGATCAATTTCAAAAATTTCAGGTAATGTGTTCTAGGCCATCAACAGCCAGAACCCTATTGATTTCGGGGAAAATTGGAAAACCAAAAAGGGGAAGACAAGGGACACAGGAAGCCCACTGCATCTGGTTAGCAGAGCTACAGTTTTAAGGATCCCTACAGTTGCCTATAGCAGTGGCTCTCAACCAGGGTATGTGTACCCCTGATGGTATGCAGAGGTTTTCCAGGGGTTACATCAATTCATCTAGATATTTGCTTAGTTTTACAACAGGCTACATAAAAAGCACTAATGAAGTTAATGCAAATTAAAATTTCATAGAGACAATGACTTGTTTATACTTCTCTAGATACTATACACTGAAATGTAGGCATGTTTATACTCCAATTTATTTATTTTATAATTATATGGTAAAAATGAGAAAGTCAGCAATTTTTCCAGTAACAGTGTGCTGTGAAACTTTTGTATTTTTATGTCTGGTTTTGTAAGTAAGTAGTTTTTAAGTGAGGTGAAACTTGGCGGTACGCAAGACAAATTAAACTCCTGAAAGTAGTCTGGAAAGGTTGAGAGCACTGGTCTATAAAGCAAACATGTCATTGAAGGCACCCAAATTAATGCCTTACTGCACACCACCAGCCTGCTCATTCTCCCAATAGAATTTAACATGTTGACACCCTGAATGACTTTTATCCCAGACTAACAATAATGGGGTGGTGGAGGGAATGGGTGCATGCATATAGCCCCTAGCATTGGGGGGGAGAATAGGGTACCCTGTTATAGGGGAGGAGAGAATATGGGGCACACAACTCCTGGTTGAGGGAAATGGGGGGCACAACCCCTAATGGGTGGCAGGGGGTAGATTGTGGGATCCTGATATGGAGAAGGGGGCATACAGAGTCCCTGGCCAGGGGGAAGGGAGAATGGAGGACTTCGGAATTCACAGCAAACCCCTGGCTGTGGGGAGTTGCAGGGAGTTCCAGAAATAGAAGGGGAAGGGAGGGTGGCACCCAGGGAGCCCTGAGCAGGTGGGCATGGAAAAATTCACAGAGTCCCTGGTGTGTGCAATAAGCTTGAACTACAGAAGCGATGACCCTCTAATTTGCACAGGCCTCAAAAAAAAGAATGTATAACCAAGAATAACAAAATCCACTACTATGATGGCAAAGTCTTGTGCTACTATAATTAGACAAAGAATTCACCAATTTTACCAGAATTAAATCTCATCCTGCACTTACACATATGCTTAACTTTATGCCAGTGAGCTGTCCCACTGAATTCAAAGAGATTTTCACTGGAAAATTACCTGCATTTGGCGAAGTGGTCCTGCCAATTGCTCTGTCAATTTGGGCATTTCACTGGACTGAAAAAGAAAACATTCAACAAACTCATGAGCTGCATATTCCCAATTTAAATCAAGATAAATGCAAAATCAAACCTGTAACATTACCAGATATGTTAGTGCCATATTAAACCTTTCTAGTTCCCTCTCAAACCTGTTATCACAAATACTAAAATCTACTTCAAGTAGGTTTATTTAAAAATAGAGCATCTATCAGTTTCTCCAGGTATCCTTAACATGAAAGTTAAAATATAAATTAACTGAACACAAAGACTTTCAATGAAGAAAACATGCTAATGGGAACAAAAGGCATCCTTTTTCTGTACTAGATACACTTAAGACAGTCCCTCTGTTAAAACTTAAGTTTGAATTTTCAATATAATAAATTATTCTAGAATGTACCAATAACTTTATTATGAATTTGAAGCTTTACTTTTAATTAAGAATGTAAAATAATGTATAGGTGGAATTTTTATTTTTAAAAGAATGATGTGTGAAGTGTCAATGGGGATGAATGAGAATCTCAAGGCCAGTGGTTCCCAAACTTCAACTGCCTGTGGAACCCCTTTCCCTAAACTGTGAAATCTCGTGAACCCCCTCCTAAAAAGGAATATTTTCAGGGATTTAACTTTAAATTTCCTCTGCACTCAACATAGCTCCTGCTGCTGAACCCCGTTGACTGCCCTGGTCCACTGAGCTCGGGCTGCAGGTCCTGCTGACCACTAGGGCTCGGGCTGCCAGCCCCAACTGCCCGGCCCCACTCTCCCTGGGGCTCGGGCTGCCAGCCCCGTGCAGAGCGCTGGGATTTGGGCGGCCAGCTCCCACACTGTCTGCCCAGCAACCGGGTCCCACCTGCTGCCTCCAATGTCCAGGGTCCTCTGGCCGCCATTAGTGAAATTTTTCTGGCGAACCCCTTGTAACGTTCTGCGAACCCCCAGGGGTTCGCGAACCCCAGGTTGGGAACCACTGCTGTAGCCTAACCAAGAGCAACAGCCTTCTGGGTCCTGCTTTGAGTCTGGATTCACTGCTGTAACTAATAGATTTTACGATCTATTATGTTACTTAACTTTCTATTACACCTGAGCAATAGCTTAAGTAGGCATCACTTCCATTACAGTAAATTACTAGCATCTTTGACTCTTCACTTCTTGAGTCAACATAGGTGCCACATTTTGCTATCCATCTGTAGCAATATCTTACATGAATGATTTTGTTAAAATATGTTCACAATACTAAGCATCACTACAGGAAAACACTTCAAATTTCTTCAAGTATCAGCTGCATATATAATGAAGTATTTAGCACCTACCATTAACAAACTGCATCACAGTTAAAGGAACTGGCTTTACTACTGTATGAATATTTATTTTGAATTTCAAAGGCCGTAAGTCCTTGTCAACAATTCGTACTATGGACTGAATTAAAAATAACGTGTGATCTTGATACTTTTATGAAAGAGGCAATATTAAAATTCTGAGTAACTCTGACTTAAGTCCATCCTATACAGTTATTACTATGACTTACCTCTAATCCTCCTAGTGAGGATTCCACCCCCCAACCCCACAAAATACTGGAGTAAAATTAGAAAACTTATTCCAGTTCTAAATGGGGGAAGTCTTTGTGAAATTAGTATAATTTTATAAGCCAGTAAACACAGATACTGTTTCTAACAAAAGTTATATTTACTCCTCTCTCATAAGAGATGTCTTCTTAAACCCATCAAAAACCAAAATTTCCAAGACTAGAACGTTTTCTTTTATGTTGCAAAGCACAGAAACAGATGACTGAGCATTGCAGATTATGTCATTGAGCTTTATTTATTTAATCAGAAGCTAGTATAATGGGGCATCCATGACACGCTGTGTGATTTAGAAAGTTTGGCAGGCAGAGGTTGGGTATTTCAAAGAGGTGACATGGCTCAGCTGTTATAAGAGGTCTATTTGTATTTGAATCACATTTTAAAAGATGGCAAAGTGCCAGTACAAAAAGTTAAAAGGGTTAGGACCCTCAAGACTGCTATACATCTAAGGCTTTTAGATTTTATCTGAAAAGCCTGATCTTTGTATTGTGTTTTCTGCTTTTTTGCAGCTCTATTGGTGTCCACAAGAGCACAGGTGAGGATTCTTGACTTACATGAAAAAAGTCAGAAATACCCTGCCGTTTTCAGTAGTGGCCACTCTAAGACAAGTTTTGCTGTAAATCCAAATTTTTTACCTACACTGGAACCACAGCAGTGTCTTGACAGTTTCCAATGCAAGTTATGATTTTTCCTCAAAAGAGAGCGTGCATGCTGATGTGCTGCTCCTCCATTGAACTCTTCACTCTAGCTTCTAGGGAGGGTGGACTGTACGTGTGTGTCAGGCTTGAGGCTCTTCATTAACAGCCCCACTGCCTGGGGACCAGACAGTAACAGATTAGTCACCCCAAGGGGTTGAGAGTCCTGAATCTTCATGAAAATATTTTAACAAAATCATTCATGCAGGACATGCTAACAGATAGTTTCAATTCCAGTTTTTTCCAATTAAGGTTTGGTTTTTTTTAATTTTATTTGTATTTTTATTAATAGAGTCCCTCTCCTGTGGGTTGAGATGAAAAGAGCTTCCACACTTGTACATGAGGGCCTGTAGACCTACTTGAAATTTTCTTGAGTAGGGATCAAGTGCTTGGATTCTCAGTGTTAGCTAGCACCACATTAGGCATCTCTCTAAATGGACATACACCTGACAATTTTGAGGTATGCAGCATTGGCCTTATGGTTTATGTCAGTGTTTATGCCTCGTCACTGAGCTTGCTGCCAGCCTAATGGAGTCCATGGATTCATCCTTAGCTTCAGTGGTGATGGTGGATATTTCCTTTACTATCAACTTGAATTTACCATGGTTCTAAAAGTTAAGGCTTTTTAGGTCACTGCACCAGAACATTATAGTTCTAGCAAAGTCTATGGCTGCCAATGAGCCTACAAGGGCTGCTGAAGAAGTTTAAAAGTCCTACTTAGGGTGGCTTCTTTTAGACATTGTGGAGAGATCAAACTGTGTGGTGTTCTGAGAAAGGCAGAAATTAAAACAGAGAAGCAAAGAAGGGAGCCCTAGAGAGTGGGAAGATCTTGGATGTGAGCAGTCGTCATTCTGCATGTCTGAGTGAGTGAGAAGGAGGAGTTTTGCATGTATGCTGTCCCAGAAATTATCTTCATTAAAAAAAAAAAAAAAGAAAGAAAGCCAAGTCTCCCCCAAAATGAGCCACTTCCACAGAAACTCAGTTTATGTCATCCAGCATTCTTATTGGCTGATAACTGCCATCACCTCTGTCTCCATTGACACTGAAGTTGTAAGAACCTTCAGAATTCCCAGTGATACTCACAGAGATTAGATGTAGGCATAACCAATTGTAATTTGTATTCCAAATACATGGTCTACCCACTTCCTTTATACTACTTGTTCCTATGTAATTCGAAATAGATTGTTATACTTTCCAGCCACTCTCTGGGAAAAGCAGTCGTTCCTAAAATATAGTTTAAACCTTGTCCTGTAGCTTCAAATCATGACCATGTACAATAACTCTGCTAGTATGTTTCACCTCAGAGTCTTATGTCTTTTTTAGATACGGTACCCGTGGCGACAGGAACCTTGGAAGTACCCAAGTTAGACTTGTCAAGGAACTGAAGCTGTTGCTCACGAAGAGTGAGTGAGTGAAAGCATTGCCATTCTAGAAGAGGGATAGAAGTGCTATTGTCCAAGAGAAGAGGGATTGGGGTAGATAATCAGAATACCAAATTTTAGCAAAATCTGATTTTATCACAACTTGCCAAATACTTTTTTTCTTTAGTTATAACAAAATTATTACCACAAGATGGTCCAAGAACCTTCCTGTACTTTCCTCTCATTCATGAATATCCTTTTAAAGACTGCTTTATGCAAACAAAACAGACCACAATATTCCAGATGCAGCCTAACACTTTCCATAGGAGATACCATTATTTCTTTTCTTTGAAACTTATTTTCCTTTTCATACAACCGAGTATGCTGATAGACTCAGTTTGCGGAGCTGGGTACTGCAATCATCATGGTACGGCTCATCACACAACTCAAAAACATTTATTTGATTTTTTTCAGGTGTATTTCACCATGTTTATAATTACCTAATTTTCTGGCAGTAAAAATTAACTTGATACTCCTCTGCTCGAGGATTTACTGTTATTAACTTCATGCCAGTCAGCTTTTGATTTATCCTGCTGGGTTGATAATGATGCTTATGGTTTCAAAATTCACAATTGTCTTTATAGTACCTTTAAGACTTTACCAGAAATGCAGGAAAGACAGTCTACTCCTAGTGAATGCTGTGGCAGCTGTAGCAGACGCAGGAGACTAGTCAATGCTTGACCTATAATTGGACCCCGCAGCAACCCTCACTGATCTGTACTTCAGTAAAGTGGAAACCTGGACATCTGATTTCAATGTGGGTCTGGAGTTTACTAGAACATGAATTTAGTTGTTCTACTATAGCTTTGATAGAAACTATGCTATAGCTTTTATAGAAACAAACAAATTATGATTTCTGAAAAGTAACTCACATTCTCTTGAAATACAAAGCAGCTTAGTAATGCAGTTGCTTGTTCTGCAGATAAGTCATTGAAGAGACCATTAAACATCATTTCTGTCAGGAGCAGTTCATCAGCACTATAACGGAGAAAAATGAGAAGGAAGCTTAAGTAACAGACCTCTTACTTAAGGAGTATTTCTAATTATATACACTTTGCATTATAAAGTACATTGCGTTCACAAGAGAGAATAGCTTTTTGACAGTTTACTGGAAAACTGAAAAATAATTCTGATTTGTGGGGGAATGGAAAGGAGAAGCGAGAAAAAGAGGTTTCTGAAAAAAATCAAGTCCTTCTAAATCAAAAAAGCTTTATTTCAACCACAAAGAATCTCTTGCCAGTTTACAAGTGAACTGTTACAGCAGCTATGCCCAGTTTTAGTTACGGCTTTGACAGCTAGACACAAAGGAGATTATACAGATCCAGAGAAAGGACAACAGAATAATAAAAGGGTTAGAACATTTGGTTTGCGATAAAGCCTTGAGAAACTGGGATTGCAGTTGTTGGAGAACAGATAGTTAACAAGATACAATTTACATTTTCAAGATATTGTAAGATATAGCAAACAGGTCAGCGTGCTTATAAAATCTAAAGCAAACCTGGTCATGAGCTATATAAAAAACAGATTTGTAGAAATAATCTTGAGTTTTCTTTGATTGGGCATCAGCTAAAATACTGTTGCACTTTTACTTCAGGCTTTTTCTAGTCAAAACTCAAATGAAAATCAAAATGTAAAAGCTCAGTACAGAAAAGTAGACAATTAGCAAACAATTCCTAAATTACATGGAAGTATGGAGTTTCGTAAGTTACTGACCAACTCTTGTTATGTACTGCTTAATTCTACTGTGTTATTTGATGTAATAAGATGCATCAGAATAGCAAGAAAGAATTAGGGCAACAATTTCATGGAGCAGACACAAAAACAGCACCTACTGTGGTGTTAAGTTTAAAAAAAGAAAAGAATTACAAGTTATTAGTGGATATAGCCACTTGTACAAAATCTGACAAATTTTCTGAGATATTGAAGTTTGATTTAATTGATACAGTTCCCATCTGAACCTTTTTTGAAATACCAGTTCTAACATGGTACATGCCTAGTAAATGTATTTTACCTTATTACAATTAAATTTATTGTTTTTCACACATCTATTCCTGCAGCCTTTTGGCACCAATTAAATTATACTCTTCAGTAGCGACAATGAATGGACATTAGAATAACTGTTGCTACACCAAAGAGTTTATGGGCAATCTGGATTAATGGAATACAAGGAACTGGGCTACAGAAATTTAGGGGGCCCTAGTTGTCATGGCATAATGTATGATATTTGATACATTAAATATTACAGGAGACTAAGGTCCAGCCTTTGTAAAGACAAGCCATTGTCCTGGCCTTTTAACAGATCATTTTCTTATCAGTTCAAATTTCCATTACATTTTATCTTGAGTTGTATTAGAATCTTATTCCTTTAACTAGCTTATTCCTTTTTCTTTGGAAGGGATTAGAGAGAGTCACTGTTCTTTATAATACACAGAAAATGTATTTTTAACATGTGCATTCCTATTAAAGGTTTTTAAAAGTGGCCTCTATCATGCTGTAACTAGGATTAGAAATATAGTATGTTAAGCATTAGTAGGGTTCAGCAAGACATATGTATGCATAACACTTCCACAGGAACCCTCAGTTACCTGCTGATTTCACAGGCAACTCGTCCTTTCATCTCTATGACATCAGAAGATGTGGCAAAACCCAATCTTCTCAAGACACGTTTGCGGCACTTGAGCTCATCCATTTGTAAGACAGTTCTGGCTTTCTTTAGTTCTCGCTTTGCCGTTCTAATATCCACTGCAATCTGTGAACCCAAAAGTGTACATAAATGTTCAGACCCTGCATTCTTAACACAGACACTTAAGACAACTTCAGCAGAATACAAAGATAGAGATAGCTGTATTTTAAAATGTGTACTTGCAATATGGCCTTCATCATCATAGTATATCTACACCCATAAGAGGATGGGAAATATTATCCCAATTTTACACATAGGGAATTGATGGACACACACACACACAAGGCAAATAACCTGGTGAAAGTCACACAAGTAGTCTGTGGAAAAGCTGGGAATTCTGAGTCCCAGGCTAGGGCCTCCACCACAAGACCATCAACAATAATCAAATACAAATAAACTATGCCATAAAACTTGTAATTAACTGCTCCAATAGGATGACAGATGCCTTCTTGATGATAATTGTAGGGTAGGATAATCAGTTTCAAAACAAATAAACTAAAATCCTTTGATTCCAAGAGCTTTCCAACACTGCTGTCTCCAGCCCTCTTAGCACCACACAGTTAAGGAAGACTAGACTGGAGGCCTAATTCTAGGCTAATTTACAATCAGAGCCAGACTCCGATATCCTAACTGGAGCTAAGCAGCACTTTAGTCCAACAGTCCTATTCATTTTAATGAGCATACTCACAGAAAAAGGGTGCTATTTCAGCACGAATAAGAATGGAAGAATTGGTCACCGAGTGACTTCTGTGGGATTACAATGAATATAAGGCAGAAGAGAATTTGTCCCAGTGTATGATTTCACTTATTTTGATGATCAAATATTTTATATGGATCAGTTTTTAAGCAGTCTTTTACACCATGCCTATCAATCTTTCTGGAACTGTTTTGGGAATAGTCTGAAAGTGTAGAAAAACTGGTCACTTTTAAGTATATATCTGGCATATGTGAAAATGCACATTATTACTTAATTTTTCTTAATGACTAGGATTAGTGACAACTGAGCAGCCTTCTGGTCCATGTCAATTTTTCCTGAAAAAAGGTTTATCTAATCAGCTTTGCTTACTTTCTATTAAATACCTCAAAGAGTAAAGCATACTCCATGAAAACTCAGCCAGAGCTACTGAGATTCTGCAATATTGCTTTATGGGCGGAGGGAGACTAACATTTTGTTTTCCAGATAAAATGCAATCAATGAGAGGTGCACAGTTATTGGCTGTGCCTTCAGCTAATTGCTGATATAGTCCATCCCTCACCTGTGCTTTTCTTTCACAAAGCTTATATACAGTCTCCAAACTGGAATCATTGTGAAGTGGATGTGAATACATCCTATGTTCAAAAGCCTCTATTTTTTGGATGACTTTTTTCAGTCCTTGGTCTTTGATGCCCATGTCATCAATGGGGTCCAATAATGGTACTCCATCAGGGAACCGCTTCTGTACTTCCTTCAACAAAAAGATTTTAAAATGCACTTTTTGGAATGCAGACATTAGTAGCAACACAAGATTTTATAGATTAAAATGTACATTTAAAATACAGATTGAAAAACAAAACAAATGGCATAAGTAGACTATTTAAGGCAGGAGTCTCAAACTCAATTTACCTTAGGGCCTGTGCCAGTCCTCAAATCCTCCCAGCGGGCCAATAATGTCACTCATGCCGCCCACAACCCGCACCCCCAAACTCCACACCCCACCTGTCTAAGGCTCTGGGAGGGAGTTTGGGTGGGGGAGGAGGTCTGGGGTAGGGGATTGGGGTGCAGGCTCTGGGAGGGAGTTTGGGTGGGGGAGGAGGTCTGGGGTAGGGGATTGGGGTGCAGACTCTGGGAGGGAGTTTGGGTGGGGGAGGAGGTCTGGGGTAGGGGATTGGGGTGCAGGCTCTGGGAGGGAGTTTCAGTGCAGAAGGGCTGAGAGGTTGAGCTCTCGGAGGTTTGGATGGGGGAGGGGGTCTGGTGTGCAGGCACTGGGGTGGGGGTGCAGGAGGAGCGTGGGGTTGTGGGCTCTGGGAGGGAGGAGGGGGAGCAGTGAGGCTCTGGGAAGGAGTTTGGGGGCAGGAGGGGGTGTGTAGGAAGGGGGAGAGGGTGCAGGCTCTGGGAGGGAGTTTGGGGGCTGGGGTGGTGTGGGTCGGGGAGTGCAGAGCTTACCTGGGGCTCCAAGGCGGGGTGGGCTGGGGGGCCTCCACGAGCTGCTGCCCCCAGGCACCATCCCTGCAGCTTCTCATTGGCCACAGGGGCGCTTGGGGTGGGGGCAGCACAAAGAGGCACAGCCCAGTCCCAGTGCCACGGGGAAGGGCTGGCAGACACATGGAGCAAGCAGGCAGAAGCCGCTCAGCATCACTGCGCTGCTGATGGTGTGCGGGGCCCCAGGCCATTGTAAATCACCCAGGGAAAGCATGGGTTGGGGGAGCACTCAGGGCGGCAGGCAGGGCCAAGGGAGAGACCCGACCCCAAAATTGCTGGAGCTCCAAGGGCCACACTGGGGAGGTTCTCGGGCCGCGGATGGCCTGTGGGCCGGGAGTTGGAGACCGCTGATTTAAGAGATATACGATACTTCAATAAAACTTTCTTCTATGCTGAAACTAGGCACATTAGATTTCAATTTTTAAAATAATCAGGTAAGACATTTTGTTTGAAGGCAACCAATGTTTTACATGTATTCAGTTTCTAAAACACTAAATCTCAGATGACTGAAGACATGAAGCAAACCTGAATGTGAATGTAAGAAACAGTGTTCTCATGCCCTATTGTGTCTGGCTGTTTAGAGTATACTGCTTGTTTTGTTTTTTAAAATTCTTGTGGAAGTTATATACCTGTATAGATTTTAACACACTTTGCCTATTGTCGATGGGCCTCAGGTCTTTGGGTATGTAAAGTCGGACACTGCTGATAGCTGAGAGAAGATGAACCAAAACAGGAACTACCTGACAACAACAACAACAGAGTGTGGTAAATGATAAAGTAACAATACAGGAGATTTTTAGTGATGCCTTTCAATCATTGTAAAATTCATTTTTCATTAATTTCTAACTACTTAGCAAAAAGCAAGTTGTGATTTCTTTTGCAGATTATTCCAGAGCTGTAATAACTGTACATTGTACCTGGAACAGAATTAATAACGCATGTTGAAATGTTGACTAAAGAATTCTTCCTACCCTATTTTGTAACAGATTTTCTGACCACATGAAACTAACTGAACTGTTGTAGCACGCTCAAATTATAATTAACTGCATGATACCTCAGCGTTATGTCAGTTATTACTTTAGCAATAGTAGAAAAAGGCCCAGATTTTTAAAAGGTATTTAGGCTTGGCTTTGCTCAGCGTTGCAAGGCCTAACTGATTTTCAAAGGGGTTTTAGGCACTTGGAATTTAGACTAAATGGTTAAATCCCTTTTAAAAAAAGATTTATGCTCCTAAATCAGTTAGACATTGCAATGCTGAGCACAGCAACGCCTGTATATCTTTAAAAATCTCAAGTCAAAGTCCCTCACGAAAAACTGTACATAAAATAAAGCCTACTTAAAATTAATTCTGTTCCTATTTTGGAGTCTTGACTTCTAAACTTGCAAAACACTATATTCTATCATACAAATATGAATATTGCTATTTTACCTTTTTAAAACAAATGTTCTAAATATGCAAGTAAGATGAGAAATGTCTTGCTTACATAATAATTGAAAAGACCAAGCCCCTTTTTTCAAGGTTCAGTACCAAAAGTTAAAGTATTAGTTGCTGCGTGTTTTTAGTCTTCCCTCTGTTAGCACACCATGCTTCATTCTATTTTAAATAGTTCAACCAACGTCTTTATAAATAACTTTCTTCTGGATCACTACTAGGCTTGAAAGGATTGGCTTTTTAATCAGTAAATGTCAGTAAATGCCAGTTTCACCACACATGGATGGAAAACAACCAACCAACCAACCAACCATTTAAATGTACAAACAGGCAAAGAAAGAAAAAATGCTGCTTGAGAACTTATTAGAATTTGGTTTAAGGATATATAATCTATATTTTGACATGTGACATTGACAATTTGTTTTTTTATGGTTATAAAAAGCTTTTAAGTTTTTGAATCTCAACATCTACCATCATTAAATAATTGCCTGATCCCTCCCCTATTATCTGACCTTCTCCATAATTTCCTGCAATTATGAAAATTTAAATATCAATAAAATTTGGAAAAAAGCTTAAAAATAATCAGATATTATCCACTGAAATGATAAAATAAAAATCAAATTCTGACAAGCCTAATTAAATAGTGCTTTAAAAAACAGAGGTTAATATGTCCTTGAAAGTCTATAAAAAATAAACAGCACACTACACTGAACTGTAACTAAGTCCAGTTAGTCAGTAGTCTCATGCATTTGCAAAACTTCTTTAAAATTCTTCATATATGATGTACAAGTACGCCTACCAACATGCCTTGCTGAGTTAGTCTTCTAAGTCAACCCTGTTAATAGCTATCAAAATGTCTTTTGTATAACATGGTTTAAGATGGTTGTGCAGCATGTGGTGACAAACATCCATCTTTCACATTACTGTAAACACTTATGTGACTGTTTTCAATGCAATACCTGAGAAAAGGGCATCCATATTTTAGCGTGTATATTCTCAACTTCTTTCATTACTTGTTTATACTCTGTTACAATCTCCACTGCAATGTTTTGTTAGTAATTCACTGATCAGAGAACTTTGAAAGCATGTCTATTAAGCAGTTAGAAATAATCTTACCATCATGCAAGTGACAAAGTTCAATGGGTATGACAGAAGCATGAAATATCATTAAGAAGTTATTATGAAGTATGTCCCATACATGTAATGGACATTATGCCTACTATCCAAAAGTTACTAGATATTAAGTAACCAAATCTTCAGAGAGTTTTGTAAGGCTTTCTATTTCTGAAATCTGAATGCAAGGATACCAGAGTGAGACATACTGTACACAAACTTTAGAAAAGTAAGTTTAATACCTAAATTTCAGCAAACCACTGGAACACATGCTTTCATGAGCTGGGGCCTAAATTCGCATTATTCTCATCAGCAAGCACCAATAATTCCCAATCTAGAAGTGTGAAAATGTTTTTAATAAGCTAACTCTGAACATTGTACATCTGCACGCCATAATTCTATTTAGCAAATTGTGATATGCTTTTGTATTTCAGGGAAGAGTCTGTTATAGCAAAGTAGCAGCATTAAATTTTATTATGTAGAAAAATCATTAGAATTTGGCTTTATGGATTTTGAAGAAATTAGTTTACCAAAGCAATTTCTACAATGTCCATTACAATAGCTTTAAGGGCAAATACGTTGGGTTCTATGTTTTACCACATATAAGAAAAAAAAATGTTTTGTGGGCGCAGCCAGATAGTTAAACCTAACATTCTACAAAACTCATTTACTCGTAATTTAATAAACATCTCTGCAACTATTGGATTATTTTCCACAGTACACAGTAGTTTTTTTTATATAAAGGGCAAAAGTTAAAAAGTACTTCTTTAAAGTACATCAAATATAAAGCATGCAATGCAAGCTTAATTGGAAAAGGACTGAAATCCTTGCATTTCAAAATAGGGTTGTGGTATAACAACACAAAACAGATTTTGTAGGTTTTCAGATAGTTTTCAGTATACAAACAAACAACTATGATACTGCAGTCTTTTAAAATATCTTTCAAATTTCAGACTTAATTTCATATTAAAGTGAAGAACAGTTTGTGGGCAAATGCAGTCCCAATTCCCCCATAGTTTTCCCCCATGTTTTCTATCTGCCAATGCACCTCAGTGTTGAACTATAACTCCACTGAAACTCAAAAAAACCGAAGAGCAAAAAACAAACAAAACCCCTGCAAAGTAAAATAACGCAGGCAGAAGTCCATCAGCAGAATGGGGGCTATCAAGTTTATTTCACTGAATGCACCATGTATGATTACCTGCCTTGTGGGCAGGTGCATATGCATGCATTTAGTGCAAGCCACTCATGGCCCTCAGAGACCAGATACAGGCTCTTGAGCCAGAATGGCTGAACTGGAGAAGCTAAGGGAGACAGAGAGGTCAACAGACGAGATTTTCAGGGATGCAGAGCTGTCCCTCCCCAAGTCTGAAAGCCTCTGTGCTGCTGAGGATGACGGAAGTCATGGAGAAAGAGGACATCATAGCGTAGTGAAAGGAAAGAATCCCATTATCCCTTCCAGATATCATGGTATTCTCTCATACTGAGGATACCCCTCAGTTATTTAAGAGAGAGGTTATAATAATGGGGGATTCGATTATTAGAAATACAGATAGTTGGGTTTGTGATGACTAGAAGAACCACAAAGTGAATTGTCTGCTGGTGTGAAGGTTGTGAACCACTCGAATCATCTATTTAGATGTATGTGCAGAAGTCTAAAATCACAGAAACTGGTTGTAGAGGACAACTTTGGTTCGAGTGATCATGAGTTAATTTAGTTTAAACTAAATGGAAGGATAAGCAAAAATAGGTATGAAACTAGAGTCCATGATTTCAAAAGGGCAAACTTGAAAAAGTTAAAGAGAATTAATTAGGGAAGGGGACTGGACTGAGGACTCAAGGATCTGAATGTGGAGGAGGACTGGAATTATTTTAAGTCAAAGTTGCAGAAACTATCTGGAGCCTACATTCCAAGCAACAGGAAAAAACTGTAGGGAATGGTTGCAGACAAAACTGGATGAACAAGCATCTCAAACAGGGTATTAAGAAAGAGCAGAGAGCATACAAGGAACAGAAGATGACCACCTTGCAGGATCCTGGAGGCCCAGGCTCCAGCCCAAGCTTGAATATCTATATTGCAATTAAACAGCCCTGCAATCCAAGCCTCAAGAGCACAAGTCAGCTGGCCCGGACCAGCCATGGGTTTTTCAATTGCATTGTAGACATACCCAAAAAACGCTGTCTTTGTAGACACACACAGATGTCCTATTACCCAACTGAGGAGTTGTAACATATCAGACTAATATTAATATTCTAATCTATTAGAATATACTGAATACATTTTTAAAAATCTGGTCAAAAAGTCTGACACCAACACAACTGTCCAAACACCTCTAGAAGGAGACTTGTGATTCAGTAACTATTGTGGCCCTTAAAACAGGATTTATATCACTTTTTAAAGTTTCTTGCTTAACTACCTCTTCCCAAGAGCTAACAGAAAGATAACTTTCAGAGTGGTAACCGTAGTAGTCTGTGTCAGCAAAAAGAACAAGCAGTACTTGTGGCACCTTAGAAACTAACAAATTAGTCAAATTAGAGACAAAACTGTTAATGATGCAGTAGTAAAAATTGCTGTTGATGTAAAAGATCCTGTTTGGCAATCAAATAAGCACATGAGCATTCCTGAATACTAACAAGACAAACATGGAGGAATCAGAGTGAAATCTTCAGTTTAATCAGAATTTGTAGAATAAGGAGTCAACGACATAAAACATACAGCAGGCTGAACACTCACTTCTCCAACCTTGAGATTAAATGGTTGATACCATTTTATGGGGTTAAAAACTGCCAAGTCTGCTTGAAGCGTCATCATGTTTTCTATACAAATTTGCTACGTATTTTCCTGAGTTGTGGTTTTTATCTCAAAATCAGGCATTGCTTTTTATTATATTACAAAATGGAAAATGGCTAGAAGTGTAAGTGTTTTAGAATAAAATGCTAGGTTAAAGTGAACTGGCAAGGCTCAGAGGCTCATAGAAAGAAGAAGAAGAAAAATCACATTTAAATTAAAAAAATATATGAGAAGATCATGATATTCAAAGATGAACAAGACCCACAAGATGAAATCAGTATGTGTAGAACTGTATGATCAAGTTAACTACAGTGCTTGTGATTTTCAAAGCAGTGTAGGGAGTTCAGTCACACATCTTTCATTACATTTAAAGGAAGATGTGTAGCTGCCCTTGAAAATTTCAACTAGATATCCTAGAGAAAGCAATTGATACTTGTGCACCTGGAGGCGATATAATTCTTAGCACACTTCTAAAATGTATTAAGTACTTTGAAGATTTAAGAGTCTTTCATCCAGGGATTTCAAAGCACTTACAACACATTAGCTACATCGCACAACACTCTTTTGAGTTAAGTAACAGATACAGAGGAACCACTTTGTTCACCACTGAAAAGCAGCTTCCTAGCAGCTGTTTAAGAATGCAGAGCTACATCAATCAATGTATTTCCCTTCACTTTCTTAGAGAATAAAATTCCCCTCTTTTCTTAACATATGCAAAGGCTTTTATGATATACCCTGAAAGCTGCTATATAGCCGGGTAATCAATTATTTTTTGTCAAGGTCCAAATTTCTTGGTCAAGGTATGGTCAAGGTCCAGACTCCAGAGAAAATATAATAATAATAAACAATAATAAATAAATAAATACATACATACAAAGATTTTGGGGTCCATTCAAAAGCGTCAGGCAAACCATGGGCCAAACCTGGACTGTCAATTGACTACCCCTGCTACATAGAATATATTTTAACACTACTGATATTTGACAATGAAACTGAACTACAAACCTGCATCTCTCCTTTCTCATCAGGCTTTGCTGGCTTTGCAGCCTCAGTAGCAGAATTCTTCAAACTCTCTTTGCTGCAGTGTAATAGGACTTCAACCACATATAATGGGTCCAGTTCACCAGAGTTGGGCTATTGTGGACAGACAGAAAAAAAGTCATCAATAGTAAATATCAATTCTTCAAATACTGGTAACAACAGAAAGGAAAATGGGAGTTCAATTGACATTCAAAAATGTTGAGAGATACTGCCCCTAAACTTTAATAGATCAGTACTTCGGTCCTGAAACCAATACTATAATTAAGTATATTTTCATATATATGTCTCCCATGCGCGCACACACATTATATAAAGGTTTTGCAATTTAATTACATCCACCCCTTTAGCCCCAACCAAAACCTACCCTAGATGGAATTGCTTTCAAAAGAATGTTTTAGCAATGTCATCATTTCCGTACAGTGGAAGAACTACTAGTTGTTCCAAATACATATAGCCTTCTATAGCTCCTGACAGAAGTGGCTGACAGTGGGAAGGGTCTCTTGACATCCATTTTGGAATCCAGATCTCCCAAATTCTTTACTTTCCCAAGCTTCTGCATCCCTTCTTCTGGTAGAGAACTGAACCCCATCTGATCCAGTCAAGAATGGCACTCAGTTGGTCAGGAAGTGTCTGTTGCTCCACATGTGATGCACACACTCACCACTGGGTTAGAACACTGCTCCCTGAGAACTCCTAACCCTTAGTCTGGGCATTGAGAGACCAGGCTTAGTCAACAAACCAGCATCACTCACACTACAGCACAGAACACTTGACTGATACTACCAAGCAGCATTTATATTTAATGTTGCCAAGGGTTTTAACAAGAAAGTTAATCTACAGGTTTGCAAGTCAGTATTTTCCCCCACCACAACAGAGGTCATTCAACAACAGATCTTTGCAGCATAAGAGCACTTATTTTGGGAGAGGGGACAAGGAAGGGAAAAGTCTTGTGCGCCAAGACTTCATATAATTGTGTAAGGGGCACAAATATCTAGCTTATATTTGCACAGGACACAAGTCTGGTGTTTCAACAAAGTAGTATTCTTTAAACAGTGATAATCTTAATGCTCTAGTTTTCTTTAAAAAATAATTACAACTTGTCTGGAACAATCTGCAGCAGTGTTGTTTGCTTGTAGTAGCACTGCACTGAAACATTTCCTTTTATTTGGCATGAGAGCCAAAGTACAGAATCACAGTAGAAGCTCCATTTTAAACTAGAATGTACAAGCTTTTTAAAGTACTAATCACAGATTAACATAAGATTTTACAAAAAACAATGTAATCAAGATCAGCTTTAAAAGAGTTTTGTACTGCTGTGATGAAAAGACAAACATCAAGGGATTTCATTTGATAGGTACCTGAAGCAGAATGTAGGCAAATAACATTCTGTCAGAGATTCTCAGAGCTTTGTACACAATTTAATTGTAAACATAAAATATCAGGTTGCCCTGTCCCACAACTAAGTCGTTTTCCAGTAATTTAAGACTTCATTTGTGAAAAGATTGTTGCTCTTAATTATGTCCTATTTTGTGAAAAAGGTACTTGGCAGCTGTCTTTAGATTTACAAACCCCTTGTGACCATTGCCATCATCTGAACGATATTTGAAAATGAAACCCATGTGTGGTAAAGCAGAGTCTAGCCAAAACTTTTCAAAAGTATGGTGCTTATTTGAACATAGAACACGCTAACATACATTAAGGAGATAAAAATACATGACCTGGCCAGAGGGCTGAGTCACAGGACAGACCGACCGCAACCAGATCAGAGTGGTTGTCAACCCGGGTGCCAGGAAAAGAATGAAGCCCTGCCATTCCCTGCCTGGCCACTGGGTGACACCTGCTGTGAGCGATCCCCAATATGAAGGCATTGCACAGTGTACTGGAAATAAAGTCTCTTAACCAAAAATAACTACACTTTGATTTTATGAAAAAAGAAAAAGGAATACTTGTGGCACCTTGGAGACTAACCAATTTATCTGAGCATAAGCTTTCGTGAGCTACGGCTAACTTCATCGGATGCATACTGTGGAAAGTGTAGAAGATCTTTTATACACACAAAGCATGAAAAAATACCTCCCCCCACCCCACTCTCCTGCTGGTAATAGCTAGCAGGAGAGTGGGGTGGGGGGAGGTATTTTTTCATGCTTTGTGTGTATAAAAGATCTTCTACACTTTCCACAGTATGCATCCGATGAAGTGAGCCGTAGCTCACAAAAGCTTATGCTTAAATAAATTGGTTAGTCTCTAAGGTGCCACAAGTACTCCTTTTCTTTTTGCGAATACAGACTAACACGGCTGTTACTCTGAAACTTTTGATTTTATGAGCTCCAAAGCAAATTTCTACAGTTTGCTATATATTTATACTATACAGCACATGGCATACATAATTTTAGACAAATTCTTCTTGATATAGTAATTCATCAAAAAGATTATTTGAGCAAGAATAATTTGAACCTTGGTTTTTAATAGAAACTTTAATCTGAAATTATACTGATATGATTGGGAAGTGAATATGAATTCAGGAATTTGATGACAACAAATTAAGCACCTGACTAATTATACTAGAAGGTGTCTAGTATAATTAAATAAGTCAGATGCTTTATTTTCACATCAATTTGATAAATTAATAATAGTATACTCTTTATAGCTATTTTGCTATATTCCTGTTATAAAATTTGTATTTCATCTGCATGACATTTTATAGGATATTTCCAACAGTTCTCAGTGGCTGAGTATAACAATGTGCTACTTGGAACATCTATGAAGTGCCATGGAGGTGATTCCAGTAGTTAGATGCAGGAAGGAAAGTGTAATAGATACACACACAATGCTTCTGTAATGGAGACAGTCAAGAACAAAGTTCAGTTTGGAAGAAAAGTTTCAGCTTTTCAGGTCAAAGAAAAAGACATGTCAGAGATTTGTGTTTGTATGCTGGAATCTTTAAGTTTTATGTTAGACCCCTAAAAGTCCCCTACTCCGCAGGAAATCACACAGAAGCCGAAATCATAAGGGGGTAACAAAGATCAAATAAGCTTCTCAATTCAACCCATTCCCCACGTCTTTGTTTTAGGATTTACAGTAGAGTCTCTATATTCACTAATGAAGTACATTAAATCTAACACACTACTTATCTAGAGAAAGAACATTAATCAACTTTCATACAGGGAGGAAACTGACTACGGAAGAAGCTGGTAGTATTAACGGTATTCATTAAGGATACTATTGTGGAAACAAACAACGAACTGTTCCAGCTGAATTCTTATGACACAAGTGGAGGAAGGAGTTAGAACAAAACTTAAAGAAAATACCACCGTTGAAGAAACTGAGTATATATTAAAATGACAAATCTGTGAAAAATATTAGATGGATCAACATCTATATCCCACGACAAACTTATAAGACAAGAGGCACAGTGGTTTTCACTACTATGCATATTAAAGCAGCTGTTAATTATCTATTTCTAAAAGATCATTTGTCTTGCTTTGTCCCACAGATTTAAAAAAAAATGCTCAAAGAAACTAGCTTTTCCATATGAATGCTAGGAGTGGCATAGTTCTAAGTCTATTCCATAATTTTCAGTCTTTGTTATACTTTCCACTGAAGGAAAAAATTAGCAGCTGTCACAATGGCTCAAGTAAAAGTTGCTGTTCCAAGTGGAATTACCCTCTCCAGCACAGATCATTATATTTCAATAGTAATATTAAAACCTAAAAGACTTGTAAAAGATTGAGATGGGCCAAATAGGAGGCTTTCAAAAAATTACACACACACACACACACACACACACACACACACACACACGACAGAGGTGGAAAGAAACACCTCAGAGTGACAGAGAAGTTAAAACGTTGGAAACGTTAAAAAGAATAAAGGTGAAAAAAAATCTCTGTTTTACTGCTCGTCAAATGGTTCATAAGAAAGCAGTTTAAGAAACAGCACTTGAGTGTACAAAGGCTATTTTCCAGTCCACTTTCCTAACTCGAATGAGAATGGAATAAAAAAAATAAATACAAAAGGCAACATTCAAAAGGACAAATAAAAGCTCCTCAAAAAGTTTTGTTTCTGCATCCACAAACTGCTGTCTTTTCTCTATTATTATTATTATTATTATTAAATATTTTATTATATTAGCACCAAAAGGCCTCAGTAACAACTGAGGCCACACTGTGCTGTGCAAAAAGAGAATCTTCCATATAAGTACAGTAGTTGGATCCTTGTACTCATCCACCATAATTACAGCATCTCTATATTATATGGCCATTCCCATTATCAGCTACAGGAAATATTTTGAATGCAAAGATTAGAAATATCTCAGTGTCAAAAGTTTCTGAAATGAAGGTCCAAATGTAAGACTGAGCTGTGCAAACACTAGCTGCAAAAACAGATTTCCAAAGAGGTTACTTACCCTGCACAGTAACTGGAGTTCTTCGAGATGCATGTCCCTATGGGGGCTCCACTTGAGGTGAGTATGCACTCTATGTGCCTTCAATTGGAGATTTTCGGTAGCAGTGCTCAGTCTGTGCACATGCCCTAGCTATCATGTGCCCTGTACTATGGATATATGGAGCTAAGATAGACGGACTGCTCTCGGATCCTTCTCCATCACAAAGCCCTAAGAAAATGAGGCTCCAAAGCAGAGAGAAAGGAGGGTAGGTAGTGGAAACCCATAGGGACATCTCAAAGAACTCCAGTTACTGTACAAGCTAAGTAGCCTCTCTTTCGAGTAATGTTCTTATGGGTGCTCCTCTAGAGGTGATTGCCCAGCAATATCATCTGAAGACAGTGGGAGTGTCAGAGCTTGATGTAGGACTGACTCTAAACTGCAGAACCAAAGGTAGCATCTGCCCGAGAATCAACAACTATGGCATAGTGTCTCAAGAAAGTGTGGACCAAAGCCCATGTAGCAGCCTTGCAAATCTCTACAATAGGAATATCTCTCAGCAAGGCAACGAACAGACTTCGATTTGGAAGAATGGGCTATAGCACTAGGCATGGTATATTAGCAGCTGTATACCAAGAGTGGATACCCACTTAAAAAGTCTCTGTGCAAACACTCAGAACTCCTCTAGCTCCCTCCACAATAGAAACAAAAA